GTTAGCGACTTTCTTATCAATGTTGGACATGCTAAGTTCAGATAAAATGGGACCTATTACAAAACCCATTGGGATGTTTTTTGCCTATTTTGCCTATAGAATTTATCATTGCTAATAAAGTAGTTATTTTCTAACACAAAGATTATTATGTCTATAATCCATTGGTTACAGATATGAGTTTTCAATGTTTCTAAAATTCTATTATGTTTTATTGACAGATACATGTTGCATACATCTAGTGAGGCTAGTCTATAACTTGGCTTAGATGCTACAGTTTTTAATTTTTGTATGAAACTATCTAGTGAGGCTAGTCTATAACTTGGCTTAGATGCTACAGTTTTTAATTTTTGTATGAAACTATCGGTACTTTGTACACTAGGATGAGATTTTTCTAAAGCATATAATTTCCCCTTTAAAACTAATTCAAGATTATTAAATATATAGCCTTTTATGTCTACTAAAGGTCTGTATGAAACGGGTTCTTTGAGTTTTGACTCTAGGAAAACTAAATGTGATTTTATAAAGATTGTCCTGTTTCTAATTGATGGTGTAATAAGTCTAGCAGAAAAGAAAAGCCATCACAGAGCTCAAAAAATTGAAAATGACATATATTTAAATGAAGTAAGAGAAGAGATTATAGGCAAATTGTCATAAACTGAACATAGAGAACTGGTTAGTAGATAAAATAAAGCTTATTCATTGAGGTGATTTAAAAATGACTTCTATACAAGTTTTGTTTTACAAGAATTCTAGTATGAGATATAAAATCTGCCATCTATATGCAAGTCATTGAACTGACTTAGGAAAAACTTCTGTATTTTATTGTTATCTTAACAGAAAGCTCTAATTGAATTTTTTTTTAAGTCTAAATATAAGTGATAATTCATGGTTGCTTTCTTCGAGTAGTTTCAAAACTGTTTAAACAAAGAAAAAATATATTAAAGAATGCACTTGAAAGATTTAAATCAAGTATTTTAGCCTTTTTTTTAAGTTTAAAATATTAGAAATTAATTATAATATTTAACATTTATATATTTACTGCATTCTGATATAGTACAATATGTTGAATTACATAAATATTATAATAAAAGTAGCACAAATTTTGTGATTAGCATTAATATCTGTCCTGAATATACCATTATTTTATTATGAGAATATATGAATGACCTATACAAATTATAGGGCAGAAGATTGTGACTGTGCATACTTATAAAGAGATGATGAATTTAAATGCATGATCATTTTAGCTATGTCATTTCATTGCCAAGAATAGCATTTCTAAAAGAGAATCAAATTGAATATCAAATAAATTATTTTAATTTTATAAATATCAATTTTTTTATGTTGTAATAGAAATGCATATTTATTAACCTCAGTACATTTGATTGAATTTATTATAACTTATTATAGGTTATTTATATAAACCAACATTGGTATTATTATTAATAAAAGAACAATGAATCAATCAAATAAATATTAAAACAAGATATAAGTAATTGTTGATATTGATTTGGACTGCCTGAAATGAAATAATATCAGCATACTGATTAGGAGAGATGGATTTATGCAGTGCAGAATGATAGATTCTTTCTTTAGTACTTCTGAGCCTACTCATCTGATCATCAAATGATTATCTAGAAAGCTGAATTAATCAATGCTCCTTTAACAATGGGCAGGGTCATCAAGAGGGGAAGATAGGAATTTTTTTCATGGGCCTGGAGAAAACTTAGAGGCTCATACCTCTATAAAATTAATGTTATTTTTACTAACAGACAATAAATCTTTTAAAATTGCTTTTTATTAATTAATAAAGAAATATTCTAGGTATTTCATTTGTTTAAAAAAATGGATAAGCAAGCTTGCTAAGAGAAAAAGGGCACTGTTGGGCCCATACAAGCTTTTGATGGCCCCAACAGTGCATAAACTTTAAAGAACTGTGGTGCTCATATGGGTGAGACAGTACAATTCGCGGATGAAACGTATAGAAAGGAACTTGTGACAACTACAAGAATATACACTTCCTTTTATTTCACTACTAACAAGTTCAGTTTTATAAGGAATCCCAACTGATTTGTAAGAAATCTTTACAATACGAGGTGTATTAAACAGAAAACCTTTTGTTTTACAACAAAGCATGATAGAAAAATCTCTGGGTGCATAATAATTAATCTTCTATAACCACATAACTAAAATCTAACTTAATCCTAACTTAAGGCTAACTTAATATTAAAGAAATGACAAGGGAGATAGGACAGCGGGAAGGTAGAAGAAATGAAGGGGTAAAACTTCACCTGGGCCTTTCCTTTCTTTCCATTGATGTGTGCTTTGGGTAGGATTTTTCTTCAACAACGATGGCTCTCACTTTCACTATTTTTAATTCTCTTTTCCTACTGGAAGTTCTCAAATATGCCAGTCATCCTATCTTTAATCGTGGAGATTCCACTTCCTTAGGATGATTTTTGACCTATTTGGAGGTGTCCGCAAGTCTACTATTTAAACATGGTTGCTTCTCAGTTTCTTACTTGACTATCACAAAATTCCTTTTGTCCTCGCTACCAAGTCATGCTCGGAGCTCTGTTTGACACGTCACACTATTTTTTCTTCAGGCCACCCTACCCACTATTGTTACTTACGATTCTTAGAACGGCTAATTTTACCCAAAGGCGATAACAGTTGTTTGGAAGATTAAGGGAATAGAAGAAATTGGGAAAAAAGATTGGAATTATAACTATATACAATTAAAAATACATATGTAGATATGGCCGATGGCCCCAGAACGCTGACATAAACACTGCACATATAACCAATATCCAACAAGAAGAAACCACAAGAAAGCAAATGTTTTTATCCATGTTTAATGGGCATTGTCAGGCTAACTGTCCTTTGTAGTTTGAATTCAGCTGTTAGCCTGACAATGCCCATTAAATATTGATGAAAAATGTTTGTTTTCTTGTAGTTCCTTCTTGCTGGATATTGGTTATATGTGCAATGTTTATTAACATAAACCCAGTTTTAAGTAGATGAAAAGAACACTAACATTTTTGACCATGTTAATGAGATGTCTTTTGGTGTGGATAATTGAAAGTGGAATGTCCATACCTGAAGATGGCCAGTCAAAAACATTAGCATTCTTTAAACTTCACCCACTGTTAAAGGTGCATTGATTAATTCAACTGAGTAATTCAGTTCTTCCTTATGAATATAATTTAAAGTAAAAATAGCCAAAGTGTAATAACAGTCACATTTTTTCTTTTACTGCTGATACCAAATCAATGAGTTTGTACAATTATCACTTTATGTTAAACTTTTAAGTAATATAAATATGAGTGATGCTAATGATAATACAATCTTATTACATAACCTGAGGTTCACTGAGAGAAAATTCTTTATGTATATGAACATTTCAAAACACAATTATTACTAATAAGCCAAATGATTGTCATTACCAATATTAAATTATTCAGAATTTAATTACTAATAGTAGCAGTAAAGTAGCCCGATTCAATACGGTAATTGTTTGGCTTATTAGAAAATTCTTTATTTAACAAACGTTTTTAACCTATTACCATAGGCCAATTTCAGGTTTTGAACTAAATTTAAGAAATCATTCCAAAGATAGAACATTCCATTTCAAATTTTTATATTTAAACTGTTCTAAATAAAAATTTAAAATTGCATGCATTAAATAAATAAATTATGAAAANTATGTCAAAAAATTGATGCTAAATTTAAAAAAAAATTAATAAAATCCAATCTTACACTTTTTATTAAAATATATATATTTAGTACTATATTTTAGTATTATTTTTATACTTTCTTAGCGCGATTCATTAATATATATATTAATGAATGGCAAATTTTAGTAATATATTTATCTGGTCTAAGAGTTTTATGATTTTCAGAATTTTAGAGAGAAAAAAAATCTTTAAAATCTGGCTATTTCTATATTCTTTTTGGATCATTTAATGTCCCGTAGTTTGAGAATGCGCGCATTTCCTAATTAGATTTTCATTAAAATTTTTTTAAATTAAAGCGTCAACACTTTCTATTTACGCACAAACGACGAGAATTATTTATTAGGTATATAACTTTATGCGAAAACATTTAAATATTTTTTCCATATAAAAACATTAAAATATAGATTTATAGGTAAATAAACATGTATTGTAGACACAACACAAACTTGTATTCGCCATTTCCGTTCATACGTAAACCATTAAACTTTATACAGTATACATGAAATTTTATTATTAATAATTTATAAATTTCCCTATTTTCTGGACACTTACTTCTACGCACATTTTACATTTAATTGCATATTTATCTAAAATGTTAAATTCTACATAAATACAATAAATGGATGATTTTAGAGAGATTAAATATTTGACCGATAGTTTATCTATAGAATTTCGAGATAAAAACACTAAATCTAACAATAACCCGCTAAACTTATGACAATTTGTCCAAAGTTAAATAAAAGAAAAATTTATACGTGTGTTATTTAACATTGTTAAACGATAGAAAAAGAACTTTCTTCGAATATTTGAGGGCGAGAAACGCGAGGAAAAATATGAAAAAACTAAAGATGTCGCCGGTCATAAATGCGGACGACTGTTTGATCTTCTCCCCTCGTCCTTGCCCCCTTTTAATATAATTGGAGTCGGCGCAATAGTGTTATACAACAGGTGCTTGTGTTGTGAACCTGTCGTCGCCGTGTTTTGGTTTTTTCCCCTCCTCCTAATCCCGTGTTTCGTTCGGTGTAAGTCTCCCGTGTTCCGATGTCGAACCAAACGGCAAGATAATACACACTTTTAGTATTTTATAGTCATTGTAGGTGCGGTCTTGTCGTTCCTCCAGGAACGAAAACGAAGGGGAAAAATTACGTGATTTGAAATTTATGGCCTTTTTACACGTAAGTATTACTTTTTAATTCAGTTTATTGGGTTTAAACTAAAAGTATTTCGTATTTATTATTTTTAAATTTTAACTTTAGACTTTACATAGGCCTACGTATGTATGACAGCGCTTTGTTTTAAGTTTAAAAATTAAGATAATTAAAATTATTTAATTTGTAGTTTTATTTATTATTATTATTTTTTTTAATTAAAAAATTATTTTTCAAATTTTCAGTGCAGTTCTGCATTAA